CGAATACATTTACATTTACATTTTTACGTTTTTTTGCAATTAATTTGTTTTGGTAGTTAATTCTTCCAGACCTCTGCATCAATAAATAAATAAAGAGTCTTTCATACATGTGCTTTAAGATGTTTTCCAATGGCTTCTTTACACCAGCTGTCATTTTAGGGACATTATTATAAAGGAAATCAGAGGCACTTCATAGATGCTGTTTTCAAAAATGCATAGCCTCGTATTATTAGCAAGACTGTGTTTGTTTATTTGCACAATAAAAAGTAAAAAAAAAAAAAAGTGGGAGACAAAACTTAATACATAAAAAAAGTACCACGATTATTATGTGAATTTGCACATACATTAGTATGCTAAATTATGAGCCACACACTTTCCATGACACAAAAATTGGCAAACGTTGCAGTGAGATTCTCTATGGGAATGAGTCCTGGAGGGGAGAGCAGGAAAGATTGCACTTATCAGGAAGCTCCTACTCAGACTCTTATTTGTAATTCAGAGCTACATTGCCTGCTTCTTGCCAACCTAGATGAAGCGGACATTGAAAAATAGGGGGCTGTCTTCGCTCCCCTCCATCCCCCGCCCCCACCCCCAACCTCTGACTGTCTTATCTAGAGTGCTCCAGCAGTGTGCTCGCCTGCAGAAAGCTACAGAAGACAATAACATATCTGTTTCCACCTCACACACTCTAATAACAACTGTGGCATACTTAGACAGCTAATCTTGCATTTTCCTATCATAGATATTGAGGGTCCTCTTGCTGCAAACAGTTTCCAGTGTAGACTGCCTGGTTGTCTTATTCAGTGTTATGACACATAACCGAGTCAACAAGAGTTTAATTTAAATCAGGAAGCAACAATATGAGGATATAATATCTTCTCCATATTTTCCATGAGTTTATTTTTATCATGAAGCATCTTAGTCCTCATGAATCTATGAGAATTGGTATATTTGTTTGCAAGATATTCTCTATATCACACATTCAGTATGCACAGTATGAAGCCAGGGATTAGTAATGTACAGTACATAGCAGACTCATTCTAAACTCACATAGTCAGTCAAACATCTTCAATTCATTTATAATAATATTTTCATGATTGTTTTTGTGGTGCTATAACACTTCCTGGGTTAACATGTTTGTCATTATATTAAGCACACGTCAGCACACGGTTTAGCACTGACTGACATCACAAAAACTGCTGTACTGTGGAACTGAACATGCTCTTAGCTTTTTTTTAGTAAGGGATGCACTTAAAGGTGGAGGATGGTTTCAGGACATCACTGTAGTAGCCCTTATACCTCCTGTGGAGGTTGAATGCAATCGCTTTGAACCGGAGTCTGCCATACTATTGTAATTGTCATGAAATTCAATAAGAAAACGTAAGTTCATTAATATACCACATTGCATTCCAAGTAATTCAAAGTGCTTTACATAATGCAATAAATATAATGCAATATAATATTAAATTGCAAAGATTAAAACAATAACAAATTAAAGTTAGTTCAAAATGTAAGTGCAAGGTGGATAATGGTGAAAGACAACCTCATCTAGACATTTGTGTAAGCTCTAGGTTGCTTTGCTATCTTTCTGTGTTGTTTAGTTGTTTTGTGTGGGCTGTGAATGGTACCACTACCAATTTAACATTTTCTTTATCTTTTACCTTGATGACATGGTATTTATTTATAGGTTTGTGATGTCCCACTGTGATAAACAGGAGGAAGTGCAAAATTACATCTTTGTAGTCTGCAAAAACAAGTTGAGTTTCCCGTCTTTGTTGCAGCGGTGAAATCAATTTAATGTAAGTTGTGGCTATTGTAACTTACTGTGGGAGATAACGATGTGGATAAGCTTACATTAAAAAAATCAATTAAGAAAAACCCAAGAAGAAGAACATAGTGGTGTTGTATGCAGTGTTTTTTTTTTTTTTTTTAAATCAATGCCTCTATATTTTGCAGTCAAAGACTTGTATTGATGACTTTATCTACAACATCACACAACACTACAACACGTGGTGCCCCAGTTACCAAAGAAGCAACTTAAATCTATAATGGAGTGAGTGTCATATAAACCATAATTGTTTGCCAGTATTTATGGGTTGACTATTAAAGATAGCCCATATATTCAGTGTGCTTGTGCCTTATTTATGACTGTTTTGCTGCCTTTGCACAATCAACACATGCAAACTTAATGAATAAGTAATCTAGTCTGTGACTATTATAGGATTTTTAAACACCAGTGAACTGTATCTTGTGGTCGACTCTTTCCAGAAAGGGCCAGCTCTTTGGTTTGCCAATAAGGCCGTTGCTGCTTGAGTTGCTCCGTAAAATGTGGTTCTATTATCGGGTCCATTAAGTATACCTCTCTGTAATGACACCCCACTCGCCGACATTTTTCTCTCGACCCCTCTCCTAATAACCTCTTTTACATTTCATTTTCGTTATTTAGCGGGCAGCCCTTATCCTCAGCCACTTACATTTAGTCAGTGAACACAAATTAAAGGACTCAGAAGCTCTGGGAAGCAGGTGCACGTCGTACAAAGAGTGAACTGGTCTTAAAGGTCTGTTTTAGTTTCAGGGGAGGAAAGGTGAGAGCTAAAGTGATCCATCTGGAGCTAAAATGTATCAGAGCAAGGGCTGCATACACCACATATCCTACATTCTAGTTTGTTCAAATAGTTTGTTGTTGTTGAACCGTCTAGTTTTCCTGTGTAACATATCAATCACAACTGTGTGTGCAGGAGGGGAAGATGGGAGTATAACACCAGGTCTTCTATAGGAGGAGTCAGGTACTGTTAGTGTCATGTCAGAACCACAGGATTAAAGATGATGATATGTCATTCACATATCAGTCAACAACCTACAACAACAGTGAATGTGTCACCGGTGACACATTCAGGGAATAGACAGAAAAACATGAACACATGTACAATGTAGTGAATTCAGTGCAATATCCCTGCAATAGATACTGCCTTTGTAATGCTTATCCCATTCACTACAGGTGTTGGTTCAACGTTATGGCAATATTTTAGGTCCTTGTTTGTGGTATTGTTATCATGGGGAGCACTATAAGATATTTTGTATTTACATTTTGTCTGACAAAATAACAGAAACACCCCCTGTAGACGAAATGCCTGAATTTCATACAAAAGATGGTTCATGGACGTACAATCATTCATTGACTGAATAACTTATGTAACCTCTACTGAAATCCTAACTGCGGGCAAATGCAATGCGTTTGACCAAATGTTCCATTTTTCTTTCAACTAAAAGTTGTGCTTGCACAAAAGATTGATTATTTTACAAACAAGATCAATGAACAAAATTAGCCCCCCTGGATCACTGTTCAGAGTTACAGATTGTTTCCTGTATGACTCATCCAATTTCTTGACACTAGAGGTTCAGATTTACAAAAAAACATCCCACTGTACATACTACTGGAAATCACTTTTTTTCCAAACGGTTTTGGTCAAATCTATCAGAATGCAATGACAAGACACAGAATTTGCACTCCGGTCTACACTTAAAAACTTAAAAACCTTTATTGTCACACGCACAGAGAACTAGTTTCAGTATACAAATATGTTCTTAGTTTAATAGCCAAACTTTACAACAAGAGGCTCAGTTATTGCTCATTCTAAGTGAAAAATACTGGACTCTAAATATAAATGTTCTTTTGTACATGATCATTAACAGGTTCCTTAATCTCACTGATGCTGTGGTGTAATAATGGTAAAAGACACCACGAGTATTAAATGAGCAATGAGAGGATTATTTCCACCAATGCTTTGCAGAATGCAGAATGCAGAATGCAAAGCATTTGCTGTTTTGCTGAATTGGCAAGCACTGCTGGAAATCAGCTTCTAGTTCTGTATGCTGATCCTTGCTATACATTTTCACACTTCAAAATAAAACACCCTACCCTTTATTAAAAAGCCAAAGTGCACTCTGTATTCTGTCTTTAATTTGTCTATTCCTCTCGCTTTGTCATATTCAGTCTCCTATTTGCAGTTCTTCCATCCATCTCTGATTGATTTTAGTTTTTCAGACAGTAATATTTGGAGCTGGGATATGAGAGTATGAAGTGTGATTTATGCGAGACACTTGATAGTGGAGCAAATGCGAGATGGGACTGAGCAGTTTTCCTCAGCCTCCCCCACCCCCCCTTGCCCTGAGGATGCATGAAATTGAGCAAATGGCTCTACTCATCCTTATATAAATTACTCTCCATATGCTCCACCTAGACAAGCACATTTAGTGTGCAAAAAAAGACATATTTTTATATTGAATATTTTACTTTTGAGGTTTGATGTGAGAAATTGAAGTGTGACATCTGTCTGTTGTGGCTTGTTTTAAATGCGTGTGAAGTCATTCCTGCTGCGGATACTTTGAAAGCGCTTTGAAACATTTTCAGTGAGTCAAATTGTGAGGAAAAATATCTACTTCTCTTTGCAGCTGTTTTCATTTTATTGTTTGCTTCTCTGTGACAATGCCAGGGAGGAGTTCTTTTAAACACCAGCCGCTGAATAATAAATGGGTACACCTCACTCCTTTCCTCATAATTCCTGTCAACACAGAGCAAGTTCAACAGGCAGCTGCAAAGACAAATTTCATTATAATATCAAAGTCTTGTCTCTAGTCATCTACTGGACCCCACCTACCCCTGTGATGCTTATTACCGACAGTAATTTGGCACTGCAGTTATCTCAATTACAAATGGAACCATAACCTCCTATGGTGATGTTAAATTGATTTTGTATTTCAGACATAACCATTTCTGCAGTCTTGTAGCTTTTCAAAGCTAAGGCACCTCTGTGAGATTGGATACCAGTATGCATGTGACACTTCTCTAGCTACTAGAATTACATTTTTACTTTGGCTTTAAAGACTGATCACTGTTAAGCCTGTCTGGCAAAATCAGAGCCACATACTTTCTTACTAAGAATACATTGGGCCATGTTTTGGTGTGAGCTTGCTGAAGCTTTTCTTTCTGTGTGTTGTAGTCCTGCTGCGTGAGGAGGTGGCCCAGCTCCAGGAGGAGGTGCACCTGCTGCGGCAGATGAAGGACATGTTGAGTAAGGACCTGGAGGAGACCCAGGGAAGCTGCTCGGCCGACGTGCTCTCCGCCACAGAGCTCCGTGTGCAGCTGGCCCAAAAGGAGCAGGAGCTGGACCGAGCTAAGGAGGCTCTGCAAGGTAATGACCTCGCCAGTAGACAAGAAGCTGTGTGTGTTATTTAAAACACTAACATCATTATTATTATAAAATATGGACATTGATGCTGTGAGAGATAGAAGGCCAAGAGTATTAGTGAATCACATTAACAGTTTAGCTCTTCAATGGATTTTTAATGGTAAAAGTAGTTAGAATAAATTAGAATTTTGATTTGGGCTGCACACGGACTTTTGTTTTCATACTTTTTTTTATGCCTCTCTTTTTCCACATTTGTTGTCTATCTTTACTTTCAAATGAACGCAAAATTATCCCAAACATCTTTTGAAACAGAAATAATTAAATGTGACTCTAGTGAATGATTAGCCAATTTTCTGATGTGACATTTTTACATGCTGTCACCAGAAAAAGTTATCCTTTTATTGATTTCCCTACATCTGGAAGCCATTTGCTTTTATTTGACTTGAAAACATATGGAAGCATTTACTACTTTTTGAATATAGAATCAAAGTTATCCAAAGTAGTAAATGTAATGTATTATTTTACTTGTCAGGAAGAAATCTTGTCAATCAACACAAAATAAAAAAAGGAAATGAACCGTGAAAATGTATTTTAATCTGTTGTCCCCAGCTAGATTTTAAAATGGCCACATAAAGCTTAATAAACCAATATTTCTTTTAAAGTTTACATGTGCAAAAAACGTATGCACAAGAAAGTTCAGTAAACACACGCTGACAATAATAAACAGTAGAAACACATTGTAGTTTGCTGCAATTCACAATGGAAAGGGTCCGTTTATATCCACCTACTGTGCATTTGAAAAAATGTGTATATTTAGAAAGCCCTACTTTGATGAACACAACAAAGGTATGTGTAGGTGGCTTTGCCCTGTTAGGCGAAAATGTGAAAATTGGAGGTAAACAAAGCAGAGCGAAGTTGCAGTAATTCTCTTTTCCTGCTCAAAACATTCTTTCATCATTTTGCTCCCAGGCTTTAGTTTTTCTGTTTGCCACTCCCCACTCATGCTGAGGGAAAAACCCGCTGCATTTTGCTGCATCGGGCTGGAAACCAGTTCATTTGTTCCTCCGTCACCATAATGTTAACACGAGTGTCTGTAACAATGTGGTTAATGCTGCCCATTAGCTGCATGATGGTCCATTAGCATGTGTTCCGCTCGAGAGATGGAGTGTTATCTTGGGGGTTGAGAAAGGACGCTGATGATTTGACTTTTCAGAAAAGCCACTCCGCAGGCTGCTCAGTTCCCACTCTGCGCCACCCACGTACCCTGATGTACATACAGCACAATGAACTGTAGAAGCTTCACTGTATCATCACAGCAATGCTGGATTCTGTATTTAAACATACAGCTTCACCTAAACCTCTCAGCTCCATGATTTTGTCTGTGTATATTAGAATTTCCGCCACAGCAGTACACTTTAGATTAAGTCTTGACTTAGAGAAAATAAGGAGGACTTGAAAGCTGTGAGACCACTTTATTGATACTTGACTCCCTAGAGACTGAAAAGACAAAACATTCAAGTCTCATGTTTCTGGTATAATTGAAAAACAATAAAACATATTAGACAGTAACCGGCAGGTCTTGAATTTTTTATTATTATATTATGACTTTGCCTCATTTACATTGAAGAAAACACTGATTTCAAAGACTCAAAATGTGTAATTAAAATGGTCAGCATTTAGAGACTTTATTCTTGCGTCTTTTGCAATTTTCTTATGAAGACCTATTACTTCACTTGGAAAAGTCTATAATGATTTTACCTGCACTTGCCCCAAAATAATTACAAACAGCTCTGTGAATTAGTAATGCCTTTAGTGTTTACACGCTGCCCCTTTTGCAAAATTCTAAATCAGTGTTTTTCCACCTGGAAGTGCTGATTAGGATAAGGTGTGAACATGGATGTTTTATTCTTTGGCACAGATACGCTGAGTAATTGTTTAATAAAAAGGAAAAGTTCTTGTCATAGCTGCTGTGAAATATTTGTTTAGTGTTAAAATACAGATTAAATGCAATTACATAAACATAGACCTTCTGACAACAGGTTACCTGAAAAATCTCATTAGCCAAACAGAGCACCTTGGAGAACACGCTGTAATTATCTTTTCAGAACTGATGAAGTAACAATGTATCGTACAGATTCCTCTGTCTTAATCACCAACAACCACAGTATGTGGTGCTCTGTATCTGTTTTGTGCGTGAGTGAATGTGAAATGGGAGTACACTTACATATTGTTGCCTTCATGGAGTCTTTGCACAGGGCAAAGTAATGAACACGTTCTGCCAGGCAGTGCACAATGGATTGCAGGGCATCAAGCAGAGATGTCATCAGCGTGGCAGTGAATCATTCTTTTCAAAGAGTTATCGCCCATGGAATGAGGCAGAGCACAAAACCGCCATTTGGTATCAGACAAACGCATGACATGTTGTCAGGGGATTTTGTTGCTGCGACATTTCACTTGACACTTGCAGCCTACGCTTTTTGGAAGAATTGAACAAAAACAAAACGGACTGGGGCAGAGTACAATAGAGCACACATTAAATAAATACTTATCTCTTCTTCAGCTGGATGTTTGGCTGCCTGAACATACTGCACACAGACTCATACAGTCATTTGTATGACTCAGGCCTGTTAATGAAGGCCAAAGCCTACCAAGCCCAGCAGGCACTGACAGCAATCAGCAGTTAATGAAAGCTTTATAAAGTGGGACTTTGGTTGACTTATAAGGTCCAGAAACATTAAGCAGAGTGGATCTGGTCTGCAATTAAGATGGGGTATGTGGGAGGACAACAGGAAATTGGCTGTTGTCATAATTGAGGTTGGTTCTGTTGGAGGAGGTTCAGAAAGGCAAAGCGACTGTGAACTTAAGCGTGAAGACATTCCTTTTGCTTTTTTGTAATAGTTTTTGCTCTCAAAGCCATTTCATATAAGCAAGAGAGCAGAAGTTGAGGTTCAAGTACCAGTTTTGGCCAGAGAGAGTGACCCGTGAAAAAAACAACTTATATTTGCATTCAGTTGTGAAAGCAGCAATTCTGAATTATTATTATTATTTTTTGTTATTTTCCACATGACCTGCCCTGTGCAGCCATAGCTGGTTCCCTGCTTTTTTGTTAGTCCATGGTTGTCACCCTCTATCGTCATACACTGACACTGTGGCTTGCTCAAACTCCAAGGATACTATTTTTTAAGACAGCTGTGAAAGGCCAGCAACAGTATTAGCCTGCTTTTTGCACTGTGGTGGGAGCAGCCAGTGAATTCTGGCTTTGTCCCTGGCAATATTTACAGCTGTTTCCAAGCAGAAAGTGGAAACACATCTGTCATCCCATTTTGTCTCATTTTCTTGTTTGTGTTGCTTTTCCAGCTGCTTCCACCAAATGCACTCATGTTCTGTGTTGCCATGTTGGCCATGGTACTGGACAGTACTGGCGATAACTGCAGTTAGGACAGTATGCAGAGGGAAGCAATGACACCATTAAAGTCGCGAAAAGAGTCTTATTTATTTTGTGTATATTAATTTGTTGATGAGCTTTCACAGGCATGAACAACAAGGAAGAGAAAATGAAAAAAGGTAGCGAGGCAATGACCATGTTTTATAACAAGACAGCCGACAGTAAGACATTTAAGGTGAAGGCGAGGAAGTAGAAAAATATTGGCAAATAGCAACTAGCTAGCAATTATTTTTTATGTACAGTAAGTGAGTATTATGATAGAAACCTTCACGTATGTATGCATTTACATAAGGTTTTATTGTCAGGTAGAACTGGAGGAGCACTTCAGCAGTTGATGACCCAGCTCACATCTGAGTCTTGTTTATAATGGATGACTTCTGGAGAAAACAGATACCTGTATTCCTTATGTTCCTGATGCCCTCAACATTTTTGTGTGGTTACGTTTTGTGTTTTAAGGGTTTTAAAACAGCAAAACCAAAGACTCTTTTGTTGAGGGAGTTTGAAATAGGTGGATTTTAAAGTGGCTTTACAAAAAAAACATAGGCCAAATGTTCTTGAGAATACCTCATTAACTACAGCAATTTCCGTATGCTGCCAATTGATTGGAGGCAAGATGTCGACTCTATTTGATTTCCCCCAGTTTTCACAAGACTGGCATATTGTGAGCATCCCACCAGATGCTCTGGCAAAGCTTTTTCCTCGAAGAATGAGAGCAATGTTTGGAGAACTTAAGCACCCTGGGGGGTTTTATTGAAGTGCTACCAACAATTATTGTGAAGCAGAGTAGCTTTGCGTGTTTTTTTTTTGCTTTTATTTATTTATTTTCCTGTTGTTCGGCTTTGATGGAAAAAGCAAAAGGCTGGAGTGATGAAGTAGCGTGAACTAAATGCCTCATCCCCTCCTTTCCTCTGTGCCACTTGAGATAATACCTGTTTACTTTGGGAAGTGTTCACAGAAACTGTGATGCCACTCCTACCTTCAGTTCAGACGGTTTGTGGCTAAATTACATGCAGATTTTTCCGGTGCCTATGAATATGAAATGGAGAACACAGAGAGGAACACTACTTTTCAGTCTGTTTTCTCTCCAGTTATTCTTCATTTTCTCCCTCACTTTTTCTTCCTCTGTCCCCTTCTCTGTCTTTGTTTGGTATGATGCCCACACTGTTTCCATGTTAAGGCCTGAGCTCACTCCCACTGTGTGCCAGACGTTAGCCTGTGAGCACTATAATTGTAATTGTGGGTAATTGCCAACCTCTCACAATTGCAGGTTTTGTTATGATGCCCGTGGGCGCTCGGTCCAGCTCAATAACTGCTGCTTGGAGTCATTTCATCCCCCCTACCTTTAAGTACACAAATGACAATGAAATGAAACTGTCATGGTAATCTCCAAAGCTTTAAGTGAAAGTGCCATGAGAAAATAAACAGTTTGGCTAATCGGTTGGACTGTTCTCGTAAGGTGTTTATAGGTCTATTTAGCTTTTCTCATCCAAGTTGTGTTAAATGAATTTTCAAAGTATTGCTGGCCTTCTCTGCTGTTTTTAATTAGCTATTTCTGCTTTGGCTAATTACTATCACTGAGGGACTCCCAGTCAATCCAGAGCTCAAATGAAAGCAGCAGACAGCTATGTATCATCAAAGCACAGTCTGCCTGCACTGTTTAGTGTCATTTCACGCTACACTGTACTCAGAAAGCAGCTCTGTCCTTGAGTACAAGGCCTCTTCCTTCACTAGGTGTTTAAACACCAACACACACACACACACACACAGACAGACACACACACTCAGGGCCGCCAAATCTCATCAGGCTACTAAACCTTATAACATTAAAGTAATTGCAGTGGTTGTAGTGATGTCTTTTATTTTTAAACAAATTAAGGTTTTTTTTAAAAACGAGACCAATCAAATTTTGGAAACCAGGGGAAATCATTGTGGGCTGGTGTGTGTTCACAAATCTTTTGTGATTGCTGGCAGCAGCTTCATCATAACAGGTAATGAGGACGGTTTTGCCTATTAAATTTGCACCTCAATCTATTCAGTTTGGATGGTCTCCAGTGAGAATACGTGTTTGGATCACAGTGGCCCCTAGTGGTGATCAAGTGTACTTCAGTCAGATAGAGAGACATCGGAGCAGTACCACTGTTATGGTACATGCATTGCAGCTGAGTTCCTCTTTGCACTCGCCTGTTACAGGGGTGTTACATAGCTCAGGTTCAGCTTTTTACAGCACCGGTTCATTTTGTTTTGGATCCAGTGAAGACAGTGAGGTTAGTAATGAGGCGCTGTTATCAAAGCATGATTCTCCCCCTGATTCCCTGATGTGTCAATTGTGCAGTTGAAATAGCTTGTACACACACACACACACACACACACACACACACCCCTCCAGATCCCCTATTAGTGAGCAATGTTTGATCAATTTTTAATGGATAGCTTATAGGTTAAACCTATAACAAGGGTCAGATGTCATTGTGGAGGTTTGTAGATCCATGATAAAACTTTAATTAATGTTGGTGAATATCTCCATGACAGCAAATAAGTATGATACAGTAGGAACATGATATCAACCTCGTACAACCCGTGAGTTTGTTTTTACTGAGGAAGGGAAGAGGTGAGCACACTGTGCAGCTCTAAGGCTCCTACTTCATTATTCAGCTGGCAGATTTAAAATCCCAAACCGTGAACACTGGACTCCCTCCAATGAGCCGATGTCTCTTTTGTTCTCTCCCCAAATAATTATGTTAAGAGCCGACTAAAAGCCTGTCCCATCTCTTTAGGACTGAAGTTATATGGAGTAACGTCAGTGTGAAGTGGTTTCATTCATTAATGTGAGGAACATCATTTTCTGAGGGGGTGTTGGTAAGTGGGTCTCTCTTTGTGATCCTGTTGTCTGTTGTGGCAGGTAAACCCAACTTGAAAAATTGTACATGCTACTACGGACATTAATTCCTCAAAGCAAAGACACCTGTATTGTTGCCATACCCCCTTGTAATTTATTTATCCATGTAGAAATCAGTGGTATTAAGCAGAAAATCAGGGAAGGGATCTTGTTATCATATTATTTATATATTTGTTACCGTGATAGATGGGGCACGCCAGATAATAAGGGTTGTTACTTAACCAGAGAGATGCAGTGAGTGGGATGTGAAAAGCGTTCCACGGTGATACGAACCGCAGTGAACGAGATGGCTTTCTTTACAGTCAAGGATCATCAGAAAGTCTGTCCTTGGTCTGAAAAATGTTTGACACTTACCCACAGAGTACAACATGCATTCATTTATAGCATTTTAAAGTGATAGTCGACCAAAAAGCCATTATTTGCATATCAAACAGCGACCCCCTGTAGGCTTAAAAGGTAGCTTTAAACAGTTTGTAGTTTGCTTCTTCACAAACAGAAGCAGCTCTGGTCAGGTTGGATTCATTTCGCTTACAAGAAGGATTCCTGTGGTGACATGTCAACACATACAAGAAATCTCTCTTCCTGAAGTATGATGCACTCTTCTTCTGTCCATACATGCACACATAAATTAAAAAAACACATTATGACAAGCACTCAACACAAGTTATGTGAGTTATGTAATTCAGAGGAATACAGCTGATCATTTAGTAACCAGTTCACAATAAGACCAATAAGCAGAATCCATAATGGTATAATAATAATAAATAATAAAATCTTATGAATTCCCATCCCTATCTGTCAGCTCACTAATTAACATGTTATATCCTGTATCCTTGGTCTTGTTGTCACCATCAGGTTGCCAGGCATTCAATGTAGACTCCAGTGTTTCCAATTTGTATGCTATGCTAAGCTAATCAGCTGGCTTTAGCTTCGTATTTATTATACAGACAAGACTGGTATCAATCTTCTCATATAATCCTCAGAAAGAAAGCAAATATAATTTCCCAAAATGTCGATCCATTCCTTTTAAGTTACGTTTGATACAGGAGTGCCTCCAGCCAGTAGGAACTCCCTGAGGGGTTCAACGTTCCTGTTTGGTAGCTAATGAGTTGGCCCACTCATCGCAGGCAATCTAAGCCCTCCAGTATAGCAAAGCGTCATAGAAGAGCCCAAAGGCTTTTAGCCCACTACAGTGGTAGATGCTCACATTAAACTACTTTAAAGCACAAGGGCTTTGGTAGCAGAAGAGCTTTTGTGTGATGAGCTGAAGAAAAAAACACTTATGGAGATTTTTGTGTGTCGGGAGTGCTTGATACAGGCAGGTGTTCTTGGTTTTCAACATCGGGCAGTAGGAACAGTGGCTTGAACTTTTAATGGTGAATGTTTGTGTGCCTGAGTCCTGATCTCCTTTTCCGGAGCTTTTAGTATCTGAATTTGCATGCAGGCACACACAATTTTGCCCAAAGACAAGCCCTGATTGGACATTTAGACACAGAGAAAAACTAGATAAAATCAAAAATAAGTACATGTGATTTGATTCACAAAATACTGGCATACAGTGCATGGCAAGAAAGAAGATAGGTCCTTGCACAGATTCCTTTCTCCATGAAAAGACTATTAAATTGAAGCATCTACTATAGATTTCTCTCCATGTCTTCTTCCTCCTCCAGCTCAACAGACATTAGCCTCAGCTCTGTATGGCTCCCAGGTGGTTTCCTTTTGTTTCATCTGGTAATAATTCTTGGAGGCTTGGACCAAGCCGCAGAGTATGTTAGTCATTTATATGGCTGTTAGCAGAAGGAAACATGCTAGTACTTCCCCAGCTCTTCTACATTCTTCAGTATAAGGTAACCGCAGTGAGCCCCAGGAACATCTTTGCTCTTTAAAAATATTCATACATAGGTTATAAATGTAAAAGTAACAGTGCTAACATGATTTGCGAGCGTGAATAGACCCTTTTACCGAGTCACTGTGAGTGCTTTCTTGTATCCGACACCAGGAGGGTTGATGTTGCCAAACGGTCACAGGTGCAGGATGTGAGGCAGCAGCAGCATTTTTGGCTCATCTCAAAGACGGCTTTGATTACACTTCCTGAGGCAGGTGCTGGGAGGTTTCCTGTTTCTCTTGGCCAGTGAGGGATGTTTCTTGTCTTCGTTTGCTGGCTAGTTTGGCTTGAATATCCCTTTTGCTTGGGGATTCCACCTCTGAAGAACGGGTGAAAGGGAGTCATGTGAAAGGGTGACAGGAGAAAAAAATGAAGTAGAGGAAACGAGAGGGTGAATCTGTCCTTGTAAAACTGCACTTCCATTCCACTTGCCTGAGCATGCTCCCTGGACGCAACTTGTGAATGTCAAGCAATTAACCAGGCTGTGATATAAGTTAATTAATGACACACAGCTGGCTCAGAGGGGGGAAAAAATGAGGGAAGGAAAAGAAAGGTTAACACGTGATAATAAGCATCAAAAGGAAAACAGAGAACCGTGTGATGTTATGAAATATCAACAGTCAGAGCAGCTGTGCTGTAAGGACATAGATGTCAAAGTGAAGAATACAAAGGTGGACAGACACAGTGAGAATACATAAAATGTAAATAAAGCATATATTGTCAGTTTGGAAAGATAGCTCGAGGCAAGCTCAGCTTTAAGCGAGCAGATGTCTGGAAAACAGCCTTGCATGAAAATCAAGAGAAAGCAGGAGAAGAGGCAGATGCAGAGGAGAAGAGAAAAAAAGGATATGTTGTCTTTGAGAAAATTAGAGCTTCTGTGAATAACTACAGTGCACCACATTCTTTATCATGATGCGTGGGTGAGGTGCCAGGGGATTAGAGAGAGTGTGTGGCAGAGAGATAGATGAAAAGGAGAGACCCAGCCTCCAACGAATCTAGCAGCAGAGAGGAGATTGACAGTCGGGTTCATGTGTGATTCACCCCTTTATCAGCACGCAGTCACAGCCTCATTAGACCAACAACAGCAGGTGTATTTCATGCTCTTACTTAAAACGCTTCAGATCTGAGTGTGCTTAATAACCTGTGGTCTACACATACTGACTTAAAACAAAGAAATACTGAACATGAGTCACCTCAAAGCATGTTAGCAGTAGTATACATGACCGCTTTAAGGTAATTACACTTTTTATTTACAGTTCTGCAGTTAATAAGTCTGTATGTGGGATTGTTTTGACAAAAGAATAAAACAAAGGCTGTCATTTTGCGATGGCCTAACCAATGTCATGAATCATTCTGCTTGCTAAAATCACTCATTAGTAACCTGGAAGGGAAGCATTTATATCATTATTGTTTATGTGCCCTGTGGGAATAGATATACATAACACGTTTTCTTTCTCTCTATTATGGTGTAAACAACTTTATATAATTTAACCCACCATCAATATGTTACTTAATGCATAGTTATTTTCTCCCTTTCTTTCTTTTTTCCAAACACAACACATGCACAGTTGCTATCACACATGCGCACACACCAATGCACGGACAATTCACTGCACCACCAAGTGTTTCCAGGTCTCTGATGCTAGCTAACACCTTGTCTCTCTCTCTTTGCTTTGTCATCCTTCCTTGCAGCCATGAAGTCGGACCGTAAGCGTCTGAAGGCGGAGAAAGCAGACCTGGTGAACCAGATGCAGCAGCTTTATGCCACACTGGAGAGCCGGGAGGAGCAGCTCCGCGACTTCATACGCAACTATGAGCAGCACAGAAAAGTATGGCACCCATGTTCTGACCGTATACAGTCACACGCAAGTGCACGCACAAAAAAATTATCCATAGAAAGTAAGAAAAATCTCTTGTAGCTTGTGTTGGTTGGATGTACAATACATGGACCAATCTACAGTCTACAACTAATCAAATTGTGTTACATATACAGCAATCTTAAGAAAGCTGTGGTACCTGTCAGTCAATCTGCCTTTGCTTGACTGCCTTAATGTCATCTCAGACTGATTTGAAATTTGGTTCAGTGCTATTATTTAGCAAGTTTGACTCGCTCAGTTTATTTTTCGAAGGTATGCTTGATATGTGAACCAATCCATCAGGATCTCTGTGTCTACTAGGAGAGTGAGGATGCGGTGAAGGCGCTGGCCAAAGAGAAGGACCTGCTGGAGAGAGAGAAGTGGGACCTGCGGCGGCAGACCAAGGAAGCCACAGAGCACACGGGGATGTTGCGCTCCCAGCTCGACCTCAAGGAGAACCGCATCAAGGAGCTGGAGGCTGAACTGGCCATGGTGAGACAGAAAGACAGACAGTGGGAGGGGGGGTAACTACACTGACAGACAGGCAGGCAGGCAGGCGGAGAGGCAGACTCTCTCTTGAATGCCTTTTTAAAAAACCTTGTATCTCTTTCTGTGTAAATGTTTATTTTTGTATCCTTTTGTATCTTTTTTTAATATGTAAAATAGCTACTAATTAAAAAGCCAGAATATGGGAAAAAAGAAGGACACTATATGCATACTATATGGGTGTACAGTACGCTGTATGTCACTACACTATTTTGGATATACTGCATATAATTAAATACAGAAAGCCTTTGAATGTACAGTATAGCCATCCCTCATGTCTCCAACCCCCTCCACCAGATGAGTAACTGTGTCAATCAGAGAATGGAGTTCCGGGTGTTTGAGCGGGTTGCAGAAAGGGACTACTCTCCTAGGGTCATGGCGGTAAGATGGGCCCAGAGCTTTTTAAATTTTGACCTTTCTTGATCCTCCCGCACCCTGGAAATCTCTCCTACATGTGACCTAATTGTCGTTTTGGAAAGTCCCTCCTCAGATGCACGTTTTTTGACTAACCCCTCAGCCGACCCTGACTGATCCCAGTGATCCTAACATAAGTGATCCCACAGAATTTCCGCCCTGATTGATCTGAATGTGTTATAGGTCCAATTAAGCGAAGAAAATGCTTGGGGAGAAATATACAACAATATTCTAGCAACTAATGATTACTGCAAAGGTGTGTGATGGTATTCTGTTTTGCATGTGAAAGACTATGATTGATAATCGTTTGACCGCTGGTAGGTAGAGATGATTGCAACGAAGCTGATTGTCTGTTGATTTGCAGCCTGCCGTCGTTTGGCATGATGATAAGATTCGCACAATGATTTCAAGCATTTGTAAAACACCGACATGTCAAGGCTAATCAGAAAACATTCACACAAAGGAAAAGAAAACTTTTGACAGACACAAAATACACAGGCACAAACACATATCCCAAGGCTCCAGCAGTTTATTGTTGTTCCTGCTGAAATATGGTGAATTGTGCTTAGTGTCAATGCTCTACAGAGCAGAAACTTATAGGAAAGCTTCATTATTTCCACCTCACCATTCTCGTAAGTTCCACCCCCAAAAGGAAGCATACAGCAAACACCTCCTCCAGATATTCTGTCCTTTTTTTCCCCTCCGTGCTCTCAGGAGTGGTAACAAGAGATTTCACACAACAAAAGACCAACATGAATACAACTGCATTTTTCATGAGACAACAACACCATGAGGAGTCCTGGGGAAAGAATTCTCGTGTCCGCATGCACCCAGAGACTTGTAGTATGATTCTGATACATAACATATGATGTATGCATAAATAAGAACACCAACTCAAAAACAACCCTGAAACTGCATAAAAGTATAACATTTCTCTTCAGGATTGTTGCTTTTTCTGACTGACTGTCTGATCTGTCTGTCTATCTTCTTAAGGCCAAACAGTCACTAGCCACCCTGACCAAGGACGTGCCCAAGCGTCACTCTCTGGCCATGCCCACGGAAACGGTTGTCAATGGCAACAACCAGGAGTGGGTGATGCAGGCTGACCTCCCCCTGACTGCTGCCATCAGACAGAGTCAGCAGACCCTCTATGTCCACGCAGGGCATCCCACTGATAGACAAGGTAGGCCAACATGACCGTAACATCCTCATCCTGTACATGAACTGCCTCACACAAGGTGGTTTTACAGTCATTTACCCTCTGCATGTTCATGTGAACCTGCTTCACACACATTCACTCCTGCCATCTGCTCAGTATGACCACATTATTGGCCACTGATGATGCTCCGGTCGTGACATTTCATGCGCTTTATGTAGCTGTTACAGTGAACATATTTTTGGCTTTACGGCTCCCATTTGTCTTTGCTGCACAGAAATGTTTCCTTAGAGAATGGTGGCAGCTGAGGATCAGTTGGGTGTCAAGGACTGTTTTGTTCTGGTTAAATGTATTTTTACAAAAAATGAGATGTAAATGAATTCATACATTTTGTCTGTGATGTTGGAGTAACCTGACCCAGCTTTTAAGGAAAACGTCTTTTTTTTCCAAAGTTACTGTCTACATTTTTCAGCCTTTTTCACCTGGCTGTAATTAATTTTTGGCCCCTATTTCTACTTTGCCCGGCCCCTCATAACATTTGCTATTGTACGTTCAGCATTTATATGACTTATGCAGATATACACCACAGATGGAGAAAAAGAAACAACATTCTCTATCACTGCTTAGAGTGAGCCATGGCTTTAGACATTTGCAGGTGAAATGCATCGCAAACTGCAAGCCAAAGCATCAACCATCATTGAAATTCCCATTTGAAATTCAAAACACAGTGAACACACAGCCTTTCTTTGCAAAGCTCAGCCACTCTGACTTTTGGGCTGGAAAATAGAACTGTGTCCTTTCTTTTCCTGTGTTGCATTGCAGCAATGCAGCTAGCCAATCATGGCTCATCCTGATATAAAATGGGGAGTTGTTTTCAAAAGTGCAAATGCAAATAATAAATAATACATTTTGCAGTGGGCATCAAGCAGCACCACAGCAGCAGGTGCAACCACGATCCGAGGGAACCTGCGAGACGAGAAAGCATCGAGGTAAAGCACAAATAACTTCTGGAGAGAGTAAGCTCAAGTTGATGTAACCCATAAGCTATTCATGCTGAGGGTCGTGGGGACACTGAAAATATCGTGGTACAGATATAGTAGATGGGAGGAAGTAGTGTAGGCAGCTCAGTGGGCATCATGGGAAGGTTCCTCAGCAGTCAGGCCTGATAGCAGCAATGAACTAAAGGGATGGTTTCCAGGGCTCACCTGAGCTGAGTATAAGTAGTCCCGTTATCGTAGGCCTTTTGGAAGACCTATAGAAACCCACAAGTAAGCTCTGAATTCTGGGAAAAACACAGGTTGGTTGTAGTGGAGTGTAGGGTACTATGAGCCCTCTTATGAGCTTTAAGATATAAATGGGTTGCCTGAGCCATGAAGAGCTTTGTAGGTTGAGGAGGATTTTAAATTCTATTCTGAATTTTACATGGAGCCAGTGCTGTTATCCAGGCTGTCAGAATGAGAGGTTCCTCCAAAACTTCCAAAACCATAAGATTAAACATATCTAAACTTAGTAGCAAAAACTGGTTCTATACAAATTAGCCTTGCTTCCACTAAAGGAGGAGTTCATCTCAGTCCTCCTAGAACCTGTTTTAAAGGGCAGCCACGGGTTAAAACGGGTTGCTGACTAATTGGGGACATCTGGAGGAAGAAGCAGACAAAGACAAAAAACAAGGAAAGTGTGTGAACAGTCACGAACCCCCAAATTGCCATGCATTTGGCTGTACTATATGTATCAGTCTCACTGGTACATACACAAACACACTCGCTCAACCTCTGTGAAGCTGTTTTCACTGTTGCTTAGCAACTGCAGATGATTGCAAATAATTCCAGGCTTTTGAAATATATTTTTATTTAAGGGTGTTGTGGCATTGTGTCCCTGTTCACTACTTTCGGTGCCCAAACACACACCCCAAAAAAAACAAGCCTTTTTTCTCTTTTCCCTCTCGTCCCGTTTAGTGGCTGCCGTGCGGGTGAGCCCATGCCACTCGCGTCAGCCCTCCATCATCTCTGACGCCTCTGCAGTGGAGGGAGACCGGTCATCCACACCCAGCGACATCAACTCGCCACGCCATCGGACTCACTCCCTCTGCAATGTAAGAGCTGCCCACCACTGCACCCTCCGAAAGTAATCACCCCCTTTGTAGTAACTGCCAACTGTCCTGCTCCATGGCCGTTGCCGTTTTCCTTCCGCCATCGTTCTGGCTGAATTCATGTTTGCCCCACGCAGCCTGTTGTGTACTCACTCTGCAACTGTGACTTGAATTTATGTGAAAAACCAGTTGTGTTTGTTGAGTAAGTGCATGTCTGCCAGCATGTCAAGTGTCACTTCCCTTCTGTGTTGTGATCTTTATCTATCCTGGTCTTTATCGCCCACTCTGCACCCCTTCGCTGACTTCTCTGCTCTTGCATCTCTCTGTTCCTTTGCCCATCTCTTCATCTTCTCCTTCCCTCTGCTCTCCCTTTCTCTTTCTTCCTCCAGTCCCTAGAAGATCTGGAGGAGGCGAAGCGTAAGAAGAAGAAAGAGAAGATGGGGCTGGGCTCTCTGTCGCGAGTCTTCGCCCGGGGAAAGCAGCGCAAATCCCTCGACCCCGGTTTGTTTGATGGTACTTCAACGCCTGATTATTACATAGAGGAAGATGCAGACTGGTAAAAAAGCACACATGTCCGAACGAGCCACCCGGAGAGCCTCTGTGGCAATTATCAGAAGACAGCATTGTGTTAAAGCGCGAGCGTGAGAGGATGGGCGTGCGTTTGATGTCAGTGTGTACAGATATAACAATGTGTGTGCCTGTGCAGTCTCACATGCATGCATACTTGCGTGTGTGTATGCATGTGAGAGTGTGTGCATGCGTGTGTCGTCCATGGTCAGAGGCCATGTCAGAAGCCCGGAGGCGTGTCTTGCTTCGCTGAAGTGTAAACCTTAACGAGCAAATTGCACCTGTATGTATGTACAGTCCTGTAAATAGAGTGGACAGTGTGACACAGCGACCATGTGGATATGTTCTATTGTATCTGCCCTCCAAAACAGCTGTGTTATTGGATCTTTTAATTGTTCTTTACATTTTGACTTTTTGTTTTCACTCAACTGGAAACTTGAAGGACTGCTGTACTTGTAAATAACAACAGTTGATGTGCACTTTGTGCGTGTAAATGTCTCCTTGTCCTGAATGCCTTTTGTTATTTTTGACATGTACTCCCCTCCCCTCACTACCTTTTAACTTAAACTCCTCCCTGTTTATTGTCCTGCTTGGTCCATCCCCCTCCTTCCACACTGCCATGATGAGAACAGTTTCCTGTCGGCAACATGCAGACTCCTCAAATCCACCTTCAATTTGGTTGTTCAACACATCCCTCAATCCGCCAAGAAAACTGTGCGCTCCTTGATGGTTTGCTTAAATGAGCCTTCAAAGACACTGCTAAGCGAGGAACGAACTTTCTATGCAGAACAGTTTGTTCCACGGCAACATGAAGCCAAACAGGAAATGTAAGAAATGTGTTTTCTATCTGTTAAGATAGAAGGTACATGCCCGAGGTACATGTGACATGCATGCACATAGTCCCAGTCCCTAAATGCATGTTGAATAAAACCCTACTAAACAGAAATGTCTTTCTCTGGGTATGTTGTTGAGGAGGTGATAAACTGTCTGTTTAAAAAAAAAAAAAAAAGAGAGGTCAGTTACTGATTTCATGATGTTTATTCATGATGATTTCCAAGTTATTAGATATTCAGAAAACATTATGATTAATGTTCAAGAGATTAACACCCCAAAGCAAACATAGAGCGGTTTAATCTGCACCTACAAGGCTCTTGTATGCAAAAATACATTTGCAATATTAAAGGTTCGCAAAGTCAACAGTAACAAAGAAAACCCATCGCTAGATTTCTTTAATTATTAAATAATTATTAAATTTATTCATGAAGCTTTGTACCATTTTCCCTCTGCATGATCTTACAGTAGCTTGTAGCTATATAGTTTTAATAATACTTAAAAAAATACTTTTGGGAGTAGAATTATTCTGGGAAAGGTTGGTCTAAAAAAAGGAAGCTATTATCCCAAAATAAGTGGCAGCTTAAACATCAATTATACTAACATAGTAGATATCAGGCGGATGGATATTTTTACCAGAAAATCTGAGCTTCAATTTAGAGGCCTGAGCATGGAGCAGGCGTTAAATGAACTGTTATAACAATAACGAGTGCCAACCCAGGAGGTTAAAAATCAGACTTAAGCAGGCTAATCAAACCGAAGCAAATGCATACCTTCTCCCATGACCCTGTGAACTTGCCAAAAAAATCAGATGCAAAGTTCAGGCCATTGCTGAAAAAGGCAATTAAGTGTGTGCCAAAGGTTAATAGCATTTCTCCAAGCAAAAGAATGACTACAGACATTGGAATATTTTCATCCTTTCATTGGATTGAGCCGGAGTCTGCACTGCCACCCCCAGGAAATCTTTTCTCTCTGATATTAAACTAACACTGGGTATTTGTCTCATCTGAAACACTATAGAGTCAGAGATTACATTGGAGCTGTATTTAACCACAGAGCTTGTCAAAAGAGCGCCCATGTAAGCAGCAGTGAGGGGATTATCATTTAACCCTTAGCTCAACCCACGTTTGGGCTCGCAGATTTTAGATGTAGAGGTGAATCATTAAGGTAATTCAAACATAAGTCATCATGTATTAAATTGTATGTATAAGATCAACAGCTCAATCAGTTTATTTCATTAAACATTTAATGAAATGTATAAAAATCCAGGCTATTTTTATTTTTTCATTTAACTAACCATTATGACCCTCTGCTGATGGGGGGGAAAAAAACATATCAAATGAAAAACATTGTATGATTATTATGTTTTGAGCCACGGCCTCTCTGTTGTTGTTTTTTTATTTTCCTCAAATATTTTACTTTTTTGTAAATGAGATAACATTACAGAAATAAAAAATAATATTATTAAAGAGTTTTATTTAAAGTCAAAGATGTAGGCCTCAGTGGAGGACTTCTATTGTGAGGTCCTGAGATGTTTAGAAGTGGATAGTAGCAAACTTTTAAAGGCATGGCAACAAAATTACGCTCAAAAGAACTAAATGAGAAAAATAAGATTATTTTAAAATAAAATAAATAACGTTGAATTTCCACGTGGCTGTCCTCTCTTTCCCTGTGTTAATGTTTGTGTGTGTTTGTGTTCATTTGTTGTGGTATGGCTCTAATCCTGATTGGTCCCTTTATGCTGGGGGGGCTGCCATCTTTAACATATGTGTTAGCCTCCCTCAGTCCTGCAAGTCCATCTGTGAGAGGACTGCATCCCAAAAGCCTCCAAATGGCCTCCTTTCCTCTCTTTCCCAATTTTAACTCCTTATACACACTGAAGAGCATTTTCTCCTCTTCTTTCCTGTGACACCTCAATCAATAATCAGAAAATACAGAGGCGAGGGGAAAGGAAGCCATGTCGGATTGTCGGAACAGAACTCATATGTGTCAGCACATGGTGTCAATAATTGTTCTGCTTTGATTTGACCCCCTGACCTCTAACACTGACCCCTTTTGTCTGACCTCCTCTGGACTCTCAACACAGTGAAGTGACCCAAGAAGTAATCAATCAGACTCAGTGACACCAAGGTACACCAGTCCCAATTGCTTTTAGATATTAGCTCTGTTGGGTTGCAAGCTGTGTTTGCAGATGCCTTCTAACACATCACACAATGACCTTGGGATTAAGCACTTCTTCAAGTTGAATCTAATCCTGATGCAAACAATTGAGTGCCACAGTGTATATACTGTATATATACATACATGTATATATATATGCTTCTGGGGCAAAAGCCAATGTTTTTTTTTTGTGTACTGAACTGATATTATTATGACATTCTGATATTATAGACTTCACAAATTCTAATATCTCGACAACAGTGGCCGCTTGAATTTAACATCCGACATTATGGGAAACGCACTTATTTGCTGTCTTGTCAAGAGTTGATACCACTTTCATGTCTGCAAGCTACAGCCAGCTGCCAGTTAGCTTAGCATAGACTGAAAGCAGACTGGCTGTAACTTCATTTTTACTGTACAGACATAAGTGGCGTCAGTCTTCTCATCTAGCTCTTGGCAAGAAAGCGAATAAGTATGTTCCCGAGGATGTAAAACCTAATCTACCTTTAAATAAAATTCAAGCTGCTTCGATTCGTTAAGCGCAAAGGCTAAAAACAGACTGGCTGTAGCTTCAAATTCATCATACAGACATACAAGCAGCATCGATCTTCTCATCCCTCTGCAAGAAAGCAAATAAGCGCATTTCCCAACATATTGATCTATTCCTTTAAGCCAGTTTACTCTCCAGATACAGTGTACTAGGGACAGCACTGGCTAGCTACCTATGGTGTAATCATTTATCTTGAATTGTGAACGTTTGTCCATCTAGGCTCTTGACATTCAGCTGTAACATTTTTAACATGTTTAATCTGGAAAATGTCACATTTCTGACAAATGTACAGTATGATGTGTGTCTTGGTCCAGAACACTATGTGCTGCATCCAAAACGCTGCAGTAGTGGCAGTGACATCCATTACACTGGCTATTGACGGGCATGTTTAACGATTGACTGCTTAAGCAAAACAGTCTCCTGTGTCTTATGTGAAGTGTACCTATGACCAATGTCTCCATACAAAAGGATTAGTAAGCCATCGCAGTGTTTACAAAAACACTTATGGCCTCAGATTAAAGACACAAAAACTATTTACAGTAATACCACGACATAGCTGTCGGATGATCTTCTGACCCACTCTGCTTTCAGTGGGTTTTAAAAAGGCATAATAGGGTCAACCCCACAGGATGACCTAACTGTCAGGTCACAGAGGGTCCAGTCTCCAACAGTTTGTTGCAGTACTTAATGTGACATTCCTTTGTTAGGACTCTCTCCGGAGTAAAAAACAGACCTTGTATCTGGACAAGAGTGCATTTCTGTCCATAGAGCAGATTTATTCAGCTTAATATGAATTGCTCTCAGAGGAGCTCTTGGAAGTGCACCTTCAGTTTATGCATTGCTCTTAGACAGGCTCATAAAAGCTTCCAGCTTGAGATGGATTGCTGAAGTCGAGTTTAATAAGAATCAGTTATTTGGTACCTATAATCATTCAGTCGTGAATCTCTTTTTGAGTAAACACAGTTGTACAGTAAAGCCTGCCAGAAAGTAAGGTTTCCATTTGCTGTCTCTGCTGGGAACAAGGACACACAAACAGACAGAACCACAGATGAAACATAGGAACCTGTTGACAAGCAAAATTTCAAACTGAATGATTCAGATAGAAAACATCATTCAATTTCACATCTTTATTTTTCCACTGGAATAACAATAACAAAATTGATGTTTTGGCGAGTGAAGCATCCGACAAGTAGAACAAAGACTCTGTGCATCCTTTATGACTGAACTCTCTGTGGTTTTTGTCCAAGACTCATTAGCATCCCAGGAATCCTTGCAGTTTTAGCCTTGATGACAGTCAGTGGGTGAGCCACAGAGTACTGCTATATTCTGAGGACTGCACCAAGATCAGTGCAGTATTTGTGCTGATGTAGAGGTTCTCCAGAAAGTATTAGATGAGACAGGTGACAGGTGACTTTGAGGTGTGTCATTTTTGGTATCAAATAGAAAAAAATAAGTGTTGATGCACAGGCACAACTATTTGTCAGTGAAAAACAAAACATTAAAAACAGACCTCACACCTCGGGTGGATGAGCGTTTCCCACACACACATATGTGTCATGAGCAAACCGAACAATAATACTATGTTCAATATTAAAAGCAATATATGACGCTTTACCAACTGCTGAGCACTAAAACTGGTACTATGTTTCCACCTGCTGGTAAATACAGAGAAATGGCTCTCAGTGAAACTAAATGAACTGTGGTATTGGCCAATATTTTCTTGGCCTGATTTCTCCAGACATTGAAATCTGACAAAGAAAAATGTAAACAGGAAACATTTGGCCCAATCTTGTAACAAAACAGGTAAGCAATGCAAGACTATAGGGGATAATCTATGGAGCATTTAAAATACAATTTCAAGGGAAAAGAATTTACCACAGTAAATTATGATATTATGTGGCAGATTTCCTGTGACCATAATGCATCAAAATATGAGTATTTTCGTTTCCATCAAGCTGTTGCTGCAGGCTAATTTAGACAGATGAGTCATGTTAATTCTACAGCTTAAACAGCTGTACATGTAATGGACTACTTAAGTGAGGAGCTTGTTTATAAAAGCTGCAACTTTGTTTACAGCATTGCTGGCAAGCGCATGGCTTGTTGACATGCAGCCAAAAGCTTAGGATGTTGTTAAAAGCATGTTTGTTTTGAAGATATTACTCACCATCTAGTTACATTCTTCCCACTGGGCTGATTTTCTGTTCAACTCATTTGAATTTGCAATTACAGTACGTTGAAATTAACATTTTGTTTTGTCATTGCTCACTATACCCACAACCACCTCTGCCTTCACTCACACCCTCAACTACATCACCCACATGTCTCCCCCTCACCCACTCACCCAGACTCGGACAGCCTCTCCAGCCCCACCCGCCACAGCCTTAGCCTGTCAGATGGGTCGGAGGACCAGCTGGACCGCCTCCAGCAGGTGGAGCTGGCCAGGACGACCCCCATGTCCCAGTGGAGGGCGGGCACTGTGCAGGCCTGGCTGGAAGTTGTCATGGCGATGCCCATGTACATCCGTACCTGCTCAGAAAACGTCAAGAGTGGAAAGGTAGAATGAAATCTCTCACATGAAGTGGACTCACTCTGTATTTTACATACATTATTACAGGCTGCAGTAAACTGTACCAGGGTACTTTGATATTTTGCAGGTTTTACTTGGACTAACAGATGAAGACCTGGAGCTGGGTTTAGGTGTCAGCAGCTTAATGCATCGCCGGAAACTCCGCCTAGCCATTGAGGATTACAGAGATGCTGAGAACGGTAGAGGGTGAGGAAGGGAAACAGAATTCTTGTATAAGCTGTACATTATGTGGTAGTGCAAGAGTGCCATCTGTTGGTGATATACGGTTACAACATTTAGAACATGTAGTGTGGGATCATCTCATTATTCTCTGGAGTCATAATATTGACTTTAAATACAAATGTTTAGACATGAAGCTTCCGTCTCACTGTCTGTACAACTGTTACAACCTCCTACAGAAGCAGGTTAGTCTCACTTCCATATAAATGTGTCTTTTTAGTCATCTGTCCACAGTATGGCCTGCCTTTATAAACAACAATTTTAAATACATTAAAGGGTCAGTTCCACCTCACTTACAAAAAAAACCTAATGTTTCAGGTTTTACAGTTATGCAACCTCAAAGAACAACATTCAATGGCAATGTACCTTTCCAGAATCACTCTCCCTTACACCACCACAATACCTTAACTATGAGGAAATTTTGATCTGATGGGTGCTGGTGTAAAGATAAATGATCACCAAAGTTATTACAGTTTATCTTGAAAGAAACATCTGTACCAAATTTGATAGAAATCCATCCAATAAATAAATAACAAATAATCCATCCAAGACTTTTCTATCCAAACCACACTATTTAACCTCATGGTGGTGTTTGAGCAAAATTCTGAGGAATCAAGGGTGAGTCCTTGCTGCAGCGTCAGTGAGTTGGAACCCCCCCCCCCTTCTATCTATCTTCAGCTGTCCTATCAATAAAGACCCAAAAAATACATTAATCCTCTGGGGACCTTGAATGTATGTGTGAAATATCATGGCAAGCCTTCTAATAGCTGTTGAGATATTTAAGTCTGGATCGACCAACAGACATTGCAATCCATAAATCCACGCCACTGTTATATCTTCATGTATGGATACCACAAAATGTAAGTACGTTTTATATGTGAAGTGAAGTGACCCTTTAAGAAACTGTTTGTCTGTAGGCTGTCCAAGGCTGCAGATATGGACCACCACTGGGTGGCCAAGGCCTGGTTAAGCGACGTTGGCTTGCCTCAGTACTCCCAAGCCTTTCACAACCACTTGGTGGACGGGCGCATGCTGAACTCCCTGACACGTCGTGACCTTGAACGTCACCTCAACATCACCAAGAAGTTCCACCAGGTCAGCTTGCTGCTGGGCATCGAACTGCTGCACTTACTCAGTTTCGACAAGGAGGTACGTAAGTCCACAGTGTGTCCACAAGCAGAGGATAACAGTGAATTTACTTTGGTGTGCTCTAGCGGCAGGTGATCTGTTGAGTAAAAGCTGTTTGTGAAAATGGTTTCCAGGCACTGCAGGCTCGCCGGATACAGTGTGAGCACCAGAACGTGGATCCATTGGTATGGACCTCTCATCGAGTCATCAAATGGATCAGAGATATTGACCTGAAGGTGGGGACAGAGAGAAAGACTGAACACATGTAAAACACTCACTATGTATATATATTGTCTTTTTAAACTCACATTCTGAAAGAAAAAGCTGAAGCTGACAAATTGTCAAGCAAAACATGTCCAGCAGTCATTGCAAGAAAACAAATATTTTAATAAAATATTAATAATCAAGAGATACTAATGTATTGAGCATTAGAAGGACACTATCACTTGGCATTGTGGGTAATCTGGGCTCTTGTGTTTACTCAGCGCTCCCTATCTCCACAGAGTGATAGAGGGCCTTTGTTATTGTACTTCTAAGCTGCTACTAGTTGATTACAAAGCCTTTCAGATTCCAGCCTCTGTGGTGTAATATGAATCTCCCCAGTCAACATTGTCTACTGTCTTGGCATAAGAACACATGTTTCCATTATGAAGCATGACCACATTCAGAGTGCGCAGAGATAAGGCCGTCTGGACTGACTTCCTGTTAATATCCTCGGGGTGTGTGAATTTATACTGACATCAGCAAATAAAATCAATATATTCTTTGTCCGGGAGCACATTTGACATATTTTTTGGGAGATCAGTGCCTTTTCATTTAACCAGTAATGGCAACGGTATTACATCAGAGAATTCTAGGTTTGACGCTATGAATGAAACAAGTAACTTTTTTCCGCCCACCTGTCCAGGAGTTTGCAGAAAATCTTCTAAATAGTGGAGTTCACGGTGCTGTCATGGTACTTGACCCCACTTTTAACATTGACACCATGGCAACAGCGCTGGGGATCCCCAACAACAAGCACATGGTTCGCCGACACCTTGTTGAGGAGATGAAAACCCTGATTGGCTCGGCCAGGTGAGAGGAGACACGACACCAAGACAGACCCTACTGACGATCTTGGATAATATATACTGTGTTTGTCTGTAAATTTTGTACAAATAAGTATTCTAGTGTCTTTGCAGTTGTCCCCAACACTCTCCTTCTTCCCATCTTCCCTGCAGGGCGGATGCCAAGCAGGACTATGAGCATCTGGGCCTGGGAACGCCACCAACCCTCCTTCGCCAGAACTCCCTGGGCAGACCACCCAGCTCTACCGGCCGGCACACTGATGACGAAGGCTCACTGAGAAGGAGGGCTGTCAAAGTGGGTATAAAGTTACTGCACTGAAAACTTTCATGAGTCATTTCACCTGGTTTTAGCCTACGTTTTGATAGAAGAATCCAAATCAAGCTTGGTCACTTTTACTCAGAATAAATACTAGAAGAATACAATACAGATTTGACACAGCAGCAGTGCAATATTAAAGGTGCACACAAGACAACCTGTATGGCAGCAGGCTGACAACATACGAGAACAAAACTTATTACACAGAGAATATTCCCCCCATGAAAGTAAACAATGTAAAAAAAGCCTTGTGTCAGTGTATTCGTGTTTCTGTTCTAGCCTCCAACAGGGTTCAGCCCCAAAGCCCGCAGTGGGCGGGACTTGAGCTGTCATAGCAGCTATGGCTCCCTGCCACGGGAAGTTCGAGACCAGACTCCACCCAGAACTGAGGGAAGCCCAATCCGTGGTTTCACCAGCATCGAGGTCACCAATGTGTGAGGTCGTCAGACATCAGCTTTATCACAGCTAAATCATGGACATTTGTCTTCCATGTACACCTGAACATGTTTTTTTTTTTTTTCTAAAGATGAGCCTTTACAGGACAGATTGCACTTTTTAAACGGGACAGGATTCTTTTTTTTCCTGGTTTAAGAAAAACTTTATAAGACGCATTGTGGGCAGGTGCTATTTTAACGTTTTTGAAGGCGCTCATTTCCCTTCCCCAACGCCAGAATCACGAGATGAAGGATTCAAGCTAAATGATTATTTTTCTATTTTTTTGTTTGTAAATGGTTCTTTGTGAATCAGGATGGGACTTGTTTTTGTTGACTAGTTGCTATTAACAGTCTGGTTCTCTGACCGAACTGAGATCATATAAAGACTGTAAAATACAGGGTACTTGATCACAAAGTGAAAAAAAGTTTCTATGTAAATTGTTCTTGTTTCATCCAGTTCTGCTGTTCGTAATGCCTTGTCAGTGTAGCTGAGGACAATGAAGAAAAAAAAAGAGTAATTGAATTTTAAATTCTAGAGTTTATGTTTGACAGTCATTTTCCATCTTGCACATTTACACAGTTGTGTCTAAACAGATATAGCACTCTCTTCTGATGTTTTATACTGTGCAGTAAACATGGAAAAATATTTGAACAATGCCAGCAGAAGATGACTACTGAGCTGTATGTCCATGGGCTGGTGGCTGAAAGGTGTAAGGATGCATATACAGTATATGAAAATAAAAGAGTTTCTTTTAATGAAATAAAGATGAGATCCCATATTTGGTAGTCCTGTTGTGCCAATCTTCAGCAGAATGTTCAATAAAAATCAATTAAAAAAGAATCTGCAACCACAGAGGGAGGTTTTGGGATTAGATTAAAATGCACATTAAACAAAACAAGAATTAAGGCCAATCCTACAATGAGTAAAATTACCACATGTAATGTTAAAGGGATTGCTCACAATTACAAACTTTTAGAAAATTATCAGCCAACTCTGAAACTGTATTTTAGCCTCTTTTAATTCATTGTTTTGGTTTTACGGATGCAAATTGACCTTACTGTTCAGTGCTACAGATCTCGACAAAAAACACAAAACTACTGTACGCTATATTCCTACATCAAGCACCTCAGGAGTTGAGGGGGGAGGGGGGAGCTAGAAGGAGGAGGAATATTTTACAAAAATGTATCAGGCCACCAAAAACACCAAATGAAAACTAATGTTGCACCGCCTCTGCTGGATGTTTAAATGAGCAACTGTTTGCCAAATGGTGTAAAACAGCAACTTTATAAGGTGGTGATATTTAAGGGTTCTGTGTCTGTCAGCTTTAAAGATCAACATTCAACAACTGCCTAGTTTGCGTGAAGGAAGTTGATTGGTCAGATTTGTGGTTGTGTATGAAATTTATGAATGAGAGGAGCTTTGACAGTGTGAGAAAGAGGAAATGGTGGAGATGCTGGATGGTTCACTACCTCCACAGTAGTGCAAATCGGGGTGCATACTAAACACAGATTACCTTTGTGTGCTACTGACTCTTTTCAGGTGACTGATTTCTCAACAGTGTTTTGTTGAGTCACTCCAGTTCCTCCTTTCTTTGCTCTGTGTTGGACTTGTTACCTCAAGCAGAGTTTAGATCTCTACGCAATACAACATGGCACAACTTCCTCCTCTTACTCACGGTGGCTCAGCCTTTGTGGCAAGATAACGATGACACAGCACAACATGAGACAGCTACAGTATGGCTAGCAACCTCTCTTAAATTAATTACCCTTCTGGTAATCCACCCATGGCTGGGAAAAATAAAACAGGCAATTCATTATGTGATGCCCCTTTGTACTCTGGGATATCAGAGATATGACATGGGAAGGCGTGTCAGGTGAAGTTTCACCTGAGAAATGAACTGAACTACTTGTTAGGGAAACATTCAGTTGGGAAATGTAATTACATTCTCATATAGCTGCAATAAAACCAAGATCAATAATTAGTGGATCAGCGGATGTGACTGAGTTTACAAGTTGGATTGCAACGGCAAAATCAAGAAGTCATTATTTTATTTGATTTATGTATGGTTTTATTTGAAGTAAATATACACTGCACAGAATACTGATTAAATAATCTGATAATGCCACATTTGATAGCAAGTTAAGGTTACGAGGCTGCTGACATATCACTTAATTTGATTACAGGCTCACAGTGATAGGAGATCAAGCCAGACTTCCAGATGTAATCAAGACTTGCTCACAGTATTTCTCTGTCTATCCTGTGTGTTTGTGTGTGGGTGGGTGAGTGGGTAGGTGAGTATGTGTGTGGTAAATGCAGAAACCAGACAAAAGCTTAGGAGGAAGAAAACCTCCCCAGGGGTTTGTGCCTCATTGTAGAACATTTTCCTAACTGCTTGTCCTTCCCTAATTTAAGTTATAAAGATTGAGAGAAAATCCTATCTTCCTATTACAGGAGTGATTTCCTAAACTCAGGGCTGTGTCCTATCTATCATATTTTAGCTTTGATGAGTTAGGATGTAGCACGGACGAAGCTTGTTGGTCAATTCAAAATAGTCTTTGCAGTCAAGATATACCATTAATACAGTCTCGTCAAAGTGTCATCATATAGTTTGTGTTGCATAATATTGTGTTGTTAATATGTTGTTCGCCATCTTCATTGTCATTGCCATACAGATCTAACAACGGTAGGGCTGCCATATTTGCACCCTGTCTCCTCGAAAACTGAATTCCAAAATTGTTCTCATAATTACGTTGCAGTGACAACCATGATTATGTTCAGAGACAACATAGTTATTTTGAATTTAGGACAGTTTCTGTGCCATCCTTACTGAGGAAATTATTCAGTTAGGACAGTTCTGTAATAGCTAAATTCCAATCTTAAGATAATATATGTTTTTTTCCTCAATGCAGTTAGGAAACATGATGTCATCCTAACCTAAGATATGATAGGATTTCATACTTAGGAAGTTTCTGTAATAAGGCGCCCAGAACAACAGGGTTGCCCCACTTAAAAGGAACAGTACAGTTGGGACTGGTTTTGTCATTATTGTAAACCAGTCCAGTCCTCGTTCTAGCAGGCCGATACAGAGGAAGACACTGGGACAAGGAAGTGGAGCCAAGTGGCGCCCGTTTTCACTGTCTTGAGTAAATTCCAGCATGTAAACAACATGAATACAAGCACAAACACACAAGCAAAAGCACACAAATGTCTATACTGTGTGTCTAAATGCATTATAGAAGAGCATGTGTGTCATGTGAGTGGCTGCAGCGTCCTCTGGGTTGGTTCTGTCCAAAGGGTAGTGACGTGAGTAGGTGAGTAGGCTGACATAAAACTGACTGACTTGTCCGTGTTTATTGCAGGAGGAAGTATTAAGTAAAGAGTGAGTCAGTGACTTTTAGTCATGGATTTTGATAACAGTTTATGAGACACAGGGTCTCATATATTTTCATGGGCATCTCCTCAAACCCTTTCAGTGACCCATGGACCCCAGGCCTCACTTCACAGGTTTACAGCAACTGAAGAAGAAG